TTTGTTTTAAATAATATCATTAATATAACAAATATAATACAATTTACCATTTTAAACAAAAAAGTTTTTTATCTTTCTTGTAAAATATAATATATATATCTTAATAATATAAAACAAAAAAAACTCGGGTGATTACAGCCAAACCTTGATTCTTTCCATTTTTTTATTTGAAAAATTTCGACTTTTTTTAAATTGAACATTTTGGCTTTTGTCAAAAATTGTTATATTAGTTAATAATTTGTCATTTGTAAATATTGTCATAAACTCCATATTTCTTTTCTGTGTTAATTTTATTAATAATCACACAAGAACAATCCTGATCTCTGTTATAAGTCATGTAAATTGTATTATCATCAGAATTGACCGCCATGTTCTATCTTTCAAGATTAACACAACCAAGAAAGGTTATATAATAATCGGGAAATCCAATTGTGCAACCATTCTTTTTATATTCATTGTATTTAACATAATATTCTAAAAGATCAGCATCGTCAATTTATTCTAAAAAAGCAGTTGTGTTATATGTCCATGAAATATCATCACATTAAAAAGCATATTGAAGAGTTTATTTGGTTTCTCCTTGTTTTTTAACAATATTTTCTGATCAACAACAGTGGTAATATTAGTGAAGTAATGTCCACACACCGAAGAGGCGAGTGCAACAATCGCCACAAACAAATTAAACATTGCACCCGTCCATTTTTTGGTACTGCCATGACAACCACTCAGCGACTTGTTCTTTGGTCTATGATGGTTCTGAAATGTCCACTACTTTTCATTTAGTAACAAAGTTGATCGTAACACTTTGTGAAAAAATAATTGGGATGAACAAAGTGACATTATAAATAAGTCTTGGAATTACTGCAATTAACACAGGCTTTGCATTCAATCGGATCATCACTCGCAACAATTTGGGATTTAATTATTACTTTGCGTTTTTCCAAGCAACTTCGAATTGTTTGGTTAAGTGTTTAGCTTTCTTTTTCATGTCCAGTTATTGTATATCGGACTCATTAAGTATCATTTGATGTTAATTAATTTAATCACGTTTTTTTATATTTTTTAAAGGTAATTCCTTTTTTTTGTGTTTGTCGTATATATCTCATTGTTTTATAACCATTTTTTGTTTGTTCTTTATCATTCATATAACAACAATAATAACGTGGTGACTATTATTTTGTGTTAACAATTAATAATAATATTTAAATTATTATAAATAATAATATCTTGTTATTTACAAAAGCATTTGTGGTCTAGGGGCAGAATTCCACCCTTCCAAGGTGGAGATCCGGGTTCGAGTCCCGGCAAATGCATTTTTTGTTTTTATATTATTGTTTTTAGACCAAATAAATAATAATGATTATTTTTAAATTTTTTGAAATTTAGTCAACAACTCTAAAACAAAAAATAATAATATTTGAATGAGTGTTTCTTTCCAAAATCTTAAAGTATTTTTTTCTTTTAACAACACCATAATATTTATATAAATCAACAAAAAACTGTTGCTGTGTTATCTTTGAAAGTCAATGTGTGGTTTTCGACTTCGAATAATATTCATTTTTTTGTTCTATTTTCCATCCTCTAACAGTTAATTGTAATTCCAAACCTATGAAATAATTGAATTTTTACTTCAATTTTTATTGAAATTTTAAACTAAATTATATCTTTTTTGTATGTCTATTACACTTAAGACATTTTTTTAATTGTGAAGAGAAACAAAGAAATAATGGTGTCACACTTTGAAACGACTCAGATACCACACCATTTTAAATACTTTGACTCCAGTTTACAACTACTCCCGATATTATTTAAAAAGATAACATGCAGTTCCTCAATAGAAGGGTTTAAAAACTATGACAAATATTTGAAGCAAAATGTAAAACTTTATTTTGAATAGTTAATTCAGAAGATAAAACATATCAGGAAAACCTCGAGATAACAACTATCAACAAAAACCGTTTTGATGACCAATCAATCAAAGACATTTTTGAAAATGAAAATTTGTGTTTCGAAATACGACCGTGAAAATGGAGAGGATATGGTAAAGTATAAAATTGATAAAATTACAATTTTATCATTTATTCTACAAAAAATAATTCAACTAATTACTATCATATTTGTGTACATCAGTTTCACAATACCAAAAATATTTAGAGTGCAAAATTATAGGATTGTGAAGTGCAAATTAAACTTCTCTTCTGTTAAAAACAGTGTCAAAATTCTTGTGTTAGAAAAGTCGACAAGTTTTGTTTCCACAAATATAAACATTACTTTTTTATTCAAAAACAATGAAAGCTTGAAAATGAGATTAATGAGAGGACTGTTTCTTCCAACACTCAAAAACCTTAAAAAGCTTGAACTTGACAATTGTAAGATCATCGGTTTTAATTTTGAGGAGAACCAAAAAACACTTATTAAAGAAAGTAACTCAGAAGTGTGGGGATAACGTGAATTTTGAAATAAATACAACTAAAAGACATCATTGAGAACGTTTCAATTTGCAACGTGAGTTAATTGGCAACATATTGTGAAGAGAAAATTACTTTTGTTAATTATTTACTTGTGACTGTTGAAAAACTTAACTGCAAAAATTTAGTATTAAACAATTTAATGAGTGTCAAGTTTCAAAACACATTTAAATTTTCTTCAACTGTTTTGGAATAATCTTCGATATCTGGAAAGCACTTTGTTAATAAGAACACCATCAAAATTAAAAATTCTTTTGAAAAACAAAAAATATTTTTTTTCAAGGGCAAAATGTACGAGACACAAAAATGCGTTTTTTTCTATAAATATAAAAATGAAAAAAAATCTAAAAATAAATTCCATATAAATTCGCTATTGTATGAAAATGCATCTTTCAGCAATTTTACGTAGTGGACACCACAGCAAGAAATCAGACCACAGGTTTTTAAGACTATTAAAATGCAATTTTAAATTTAGGTCTGAAAAATAATCGAAAACTTTTTTCCAGACACCAGTACTGAGTAGAAATCTTTATTATTACTGTGACAACATCGAAGTAGCAATACAAACTTATTACAATTATTTTTTTGTTGATTGGTGCGGGAGATATGC